TCTCTCTGGGCCTCAGTATTCCCACCTGGCCAATGGGTTGAACGACACCCGACGCCCCTCACTGCCTTGGACGGATAAACGAGAGGCTGCGAGGGAGGGTTTGCAAAGTGGTCCAGGGAGACAGGTTCCTTCCGTCTGAATCTCCCGCCCGTCTTGTTCGCTTACCCAGGATGCAAAAGTCATTTTTATTTTTATTTATTTTTAAAAATATATATTTTTATTGGTTTCAGAGAGGAAGGGAGAGGGAGAGATAGAAACATCCGGCAGCTGCCGTGGGCTCGGCCTGCGACCGTTTCCAATCAAACTTCTCGGACAAAACAAACTGCGCGAGACGAGGCCCGGGGGCCCGTTGGCGGAGTCTGCAGGGTGTGTGGCTCCTTTTCCCCCCCCAGGGCCAGCTGTCCACCCATGGGCAGTGCCAGGCGGCCTGTGACGGGGAGTGGGGCTCGCGCTGGGTTTCAGGGTTTGTCCTTGGAGGGGATCACCTCTGAGCTGGTCCTTGGGGGCCACGGCAGGAGCCTGCAGGGCAGCTCGGCCAGGCCCTGGCTGCCACGAGGTCCTGTTGATGGGGCATTAAAAATAGATTGCAAACAAATACATCATTCTCTGTGGATTCCTGGCCATTTGCCCCTGACCTCGCCTCCTGGGGGCCCTGGAGACGGGGCTGGATGTGCTCAGATTCCCTGGGGCTCTGGCCTCCCTGCCTCCCCGCCTCCCCGCCTCCCCGCCACGGGTGACTGCCTGCCCCGTGTTCCAGCATCTCCTCTCCTCCCCGGTGGGTGTCCCTGGCGGTCAGCAGCCTGGGTGGCTCCTCGGGTATGAGAGCTGAGAGGCACTAAATCTTCTCCGTCCGCCAGGGCGCCGCCCGCCCCAAAGTCCTTCCACAGGGAAACCCTGTCCCTCCTCAGACATCGGCCTGGGTGGGCGAGGGGCTCGACCCCAGCGCCCGCGGTCCTGAGACAGAGGCCCTCTTGCCCTCCTGTCCGCCGCATGCCATGCGTTTAACAGGCTCGGGTCGCTGCCTGGGGGGACACCCAGGGGTGAGGGAGAGAGAGAGGAAGGGGTGGGTGCCGCGAGGACGCTCAGAGGCGTGGGGGGAGGAGAAGGCCCTGTCCCCAGCGAGCTGGCGGGGCTGTGTGGGTGGCAGGAGGGACAGGGGGACAGGACCAAGGCCCAAACCTTGGCCAGCGGCCTTGCGTCTGTGGCCACGACGGAGTGGGGGAGGGCAAGCGGGCAGAAGGTCGAGAGGGCCTGCCACCAGCCGTGAGCAGTGGAGCTCGGCTGGGAGACGATGGCGATTCGGGCACAGGAGGCGGCCTCAGGACCAGGCTCAGGGGCAGCAAAGGAGGCCCCGGGTTCGAGGGCCCAGTCCTCAGAGGCACACGGGCTCGGACGAAAGCACCACCAGGGGGACTTGCTCTCTCTCGATCAGACCCAGGCCCAGCCGGCGGGGCTCAGGGGTTGAGCGTTGACCTATGAACCAGGAGGTCAGGGTTCGATTCCCGGTCGGGGCCCGGGTTACGGGCTCGATCCCCAGCGTGGGGCGTGCAGGAGGCAGCCGATCCGTGATTCTCTCTCATCGTGGATGTTTCTCTCTCTCTCCCTCTCCCTTCCTCTCTGAAATCAATAAAAATAGATATTTTTTTTAAACTCTCACACTACGCACGAGGTCAGAGGTCAGTTTTCTCATCCCCGTAATTTTTGTAAATGAACCCAGGAGCCCCCGCCCCCACCTGAGGTCGGAGATCACATTGGCCCCAGCCTCCAGCGGAGAGAACTTGGAGCACAGAGGAGCCATCGTGGGGGACAGAGAGGGACGCCCACCGAGAAGGTGACCACGGGGGGGGGGCGAGGGGGGGCTCAGGGCAGCACCTCCAGCCCCAGTCCCGGGAAGACCCGGTGAGAAGGCCCCGGGGAACCTTCCCCAGCGAGGATGGGAGACCCCAGCCACCGTCTCGGCCACGGCCACGAGACGGGACCACGGACGGCCCTCGGGGCCCCAGCTCCCTGCAGCCACCAGGCCGGAGGCCCTGTCAACAGGCCTCTAATCGGGTTCCTCGGGGCACCATCGGTCACCAGGCACCAAAGCCCTTTCCGCCTCGGTCTTAATGAGGCTCAGCCGCCCCTGTCAATCTCCCCGGAGCCGCGTCCATCTAGACCGCGGCTGACAGGTGGCCCCTGGGACCAGAGGTCTCCGTGGAGCCCGGGCCCTGCCCGCCGGGGGCTCGTCCAGAGTGAACTGCAGGCCGGGGCGGGGGAGGGGGAGCACAGAGGGACCGGGGAAGGGAAGTGGGGGCCCGGGGAGGCCGGCCCCTGGGTTCGAGGTCCCTTGTGCAGGCCAGCGGGGCCTCTGGGAG